GGAAAAAGTTCCATTCCTTGTGCTTATGCTTATGCTTATGTAACCCCGGTTCACACATATTTTTCTTATGTTTATGTTTATGTTTATGCTTATGCTTATGCTTATGTCAAAGTGTGAACCAGCCCTTAGCACGAGGTTGTTTTTCTTCGGTTAAGTTTGCTTTGAGCGTTTAAGATGTTTTATATTCAGATAACTATACGGTGCTATTTTGCTTCTTTGAGTATTGATATTTGTGGTCTTCACTTGATATTCTTTGAGATATTTGTCTTTGAAATTGTATATTTCATCCATCAAATTGTTATGGTACAAAGCGTATGGCATTCGCTCAGAAATAATCTGCATGTTCGTCCTAGGAAGGCGAATGACGGCCGTTGTCCTTTGAGCGAAGCCATTTGGCTGTGAGAAACTAAATAAAAGAGATTTTAAACCCCTCAGCCGATGTTTCTTTCATCTTTGTATTTCGCTTTGCTTGCTAAACGTAACATAGGCACGCAAGGCGTGCAAGAGTTATTATTTTTTTGTGAAGTCTTCGAGATAGGAGCATTCATGTAGCTGTTTGCAGTAATGGTTTGGTTAATTTGACAAGTTTTCTTGGTTGCGATGTACAGCAAGAAAGAAACTGGTAATTTATGATGTACATACGATGTTACATCGGTAATGGTAAGATAGCTAAATAGTAAGCCAGAAAATCTTTGACTGAACAAACTACTTGTATCTGACACGTCTCCAGATTAATGTAGATACCATCTTATTTTTTTTCTTTGATTCGTTCTTTGATAAAACCCACACTGTGATTGGTGTGACACGTGCANGGAGAGGCTAAAAGAGCAGTTTACAGGGAATGTTAAAGAAGAATGAAGACTCACAGGTTGGATTCGCCCACACAATAAGTTCCCCCAAGTATCACAATTAAGGGACGTGGAGAGGCTAAAAGAGCAGTTAGAGGGAATGTTAAAGAAGAATGAAGACTCACAGGTTGGATTCGCCTACACAATAAGTTCCCCCACGTACCATAATTAAGGGATGTGGAGAGGCTAAAAGAGCAGTCTAGAGGGAATGTTAAAGAAGAATGAAGACTCACACCTTGCTCTTCTCGGTTACAGGCCCACTCCTTTATAACATAGGCACGCAAGGCGCGCAAGAGTTTTTTTTGTGAAGTCTCGGAGATAGGAGCATTCATGGAGCTGTTTACAGTGATGATTTAGTTAATTTGTAAAGCTTTTTTGGTTGCGATGTACAGCAAGAAAGAAACTGGGAATTTATGATGTACATACGATATTACATCGGTAATGGTACGATAGCTAAATAGTAAGCCATAAAATGTTTGACTGAACAAACTACAGTAATCTGACACGTTTCCAAATTAATGTAGATACCATCTTATTTTTTTTCTTGATTCGTTCTTTGATAAAACCCACACTGTGATTGGTGTGACACGTGCACATGCATAACTCCCTCACTCACCGATCACATAGCCCTTCCAACCCCCAAGAGTAATTTTTGCTCCAAAATACTCAAGTTAAGAGACCTTTTCGCATTTTATACGAGTCGTAAGTTTACCCTTTTTACACAACACAACACAACAACACTACTTCACCGAAAAT